AAAAAAAACAATTCGGAGAATTACTATGTTATTTATTAGGAAAATAAACATATGAAAATTGAACGAAACAACTATTATAACAATAATTGTTCAAAGTGACGACCCCCAACAGTAATACTTGCTTCTGCTCTCCTCATCAAAGAATTCCGCACCCGTTGAAAAATGCCCGGAGTGTTTCTTATCGTTTCGCAGCAAGCTATGATGCAATCCCTCAACATTTCCTCGTTTTCAATGGAGCTAGCATAAACTAGAGATTTTAGGTGTCCCCAAAAGAAAAAATCGACGGGATTGAGGTCCGGTGACCTCGGGGGCTACGTCCAAAAAAATTCTTGCTATCACACTAAAATGAGCAGGAGCTCCATCGTGCATAAACCAAGAGTGATTTCGGAGACAAATGGGAACATCTTCCGTAAGTTGGGGAAGCTCGTGTTCCAAAAAATGTAGGTAAGCATCTTCATTCAAACGTAAGGGAAGAAAATAGGGCCCAATTGAATAATCCCCAATTATGCCTACCCATACATTAAAAGATAATCTGTCTTGGAAATGAGTTTGCGTTATCGCAAGCGTTATCTTCCGCCCAGATGTGGTTATTATGGAAGTTCATTCAGATTCGCAAATGTCGCTGCACAAGAAGTCACGCGTTGGGGATACCTTTCCTGATAGATGCGTCTGGCCTCGCTTGAATTTCCGTCATTCGTAAAACCATATCAGCCATTTCATCATTCGTAAAGTCGGGCATGGTACCAAAAAATCACTTTATAAACTCCGAACTGTGAATTTGTCAATGAATAGTTAAAAATGTGACAGCGAACTTCTATTTTTATAAACAAACTTTCATAGCCTACTCGATTTAATAAACTTAATTTGCAAGCGGAGAGTGACAAAAATTATTGAAATCAAATTTGGCTATAAAGTAATATGCATCGATATAGAAAANACGTCACTTGAATATTTTAACGTACTTATGTTACACCCTGTATACATGCTCTAGGCGCAACGACGTTCGCCGGGTATTGTTCAATCAACAGCTGTCGATTAAATCACAAATCGGTATAAATTTATACTTATAAATGCGAATGTCACTCGCCTAACACTTATTCATCTCTTTCTCCGTACTGGAAAACCTAGGAAGCTAAAATTTGGAATATAGGTGCTTCATAGGTCTTAGATGCGCACTAAGGAGGGATTTTTTAATATTCCAACTGGGGCGCCACCGTGGAGTAAAAAGGGGCGCGTTTACATATGAAAATTTCCTTTTCATGACTGTTTCTCAATACCAGTATATTTTCGGATGCTGAAATTTTGTATGTAGGTTCGGTTTATGTTGTAGATGTGCAATAAAAAAGGTAAACTTTGCACGTTTGTAATACATTGAAAAGTGCTTTTTATAGAATGTATTGGAATTGTAATTCGAAATTCCAAAGTAAAAACTATTTTGGGTGTTTACTCATATTTTTGTCACCCACCAAATATATAAACATTTATAGTCTTTTGAGATTTGTTTTTCACTCTTTAATCAGCTCAATTATGTATGCCACTGAAACGGGTACTTGAAAATGATTTTTTACTTCGCTGACTAAGAAAATATACTCTAAAAAGATTTTGCGACTTCATTTCATATACTCGTATTAGATTTTCGGAATATTCTTATTCTTTCCCTATGCATAGACCTGATCTACTGTAGTTTCCTTTTTCAATGATTCAATTTGAAGTAATGTATGCTGTTTTCAATTCTGAGAAAAATATTAATATATTCTTTTCTCATGTTATCATCATAAACATAAATACACTTGTCTGATAGATGCGGATCAAATGGCTGAAATCGGTTTTTCCATAAATCCGTTCCCACACTCGAAAATCGGAACTATAGTGCGAGCTAACAATCAACGAGGTCCTATCTTGCATTGTGCGATTGATAGCACGATGTCCTTAATATTGGTGGTTGCGGAGCTTCCGATTAACTCACGAGGAAATCGTAAAGTGAACTTCTCGCATAACAATATGTAATACTACAAACAAACCACAGATATGCCAGGGATATTTGTATGTTTGTTTGGCGCCAAACACGATTATTAAATACACAGTTAAGATCAAAAATAAATGACCTCCAATCCAAGAATATTGCAAATTACGATTGCAAACTACGTATTTTGTCTGTTATCGAATCAAATAGTGACCATCATTTATTTATGTAATGAAACCCGGAATTCGGAATCAATTTCGTTTGAACTTGACTGTAACCGCAAATCTAGAACTATCCATGATGGTCATCTTCACGTCGTCATCCGTAACTTCAATCACAGCTTTAATTATTTTCGCAATGCATTTATAGGCAATGAAGATATACAGGAAAGTATTATTAATCCATTTTTAAACGGTTTTATTTAGCTAGCCATGCTTGAGATTTGGATTGATCTGATATTTGGAACACATATTTAGTTTTGATGACAATACAATTTAATAAATTCTGTATCATGGTAAATTCACGATGGGCGCAGCAACAAAATGGCTGATTACATATTGTTTCACAACTACCTTAATATAAGTATCAAATGATAGGGTTTGCCTAGTAGAATAGTAGTACACTTTGAAAATTATGCAAATTCAAGATGGCCGCAGATACAAAATGGCGTATTACATATTACCTTGCGATACTGAGGCACTAAACAGAATGAGTGGAATTGAGTAACAAAATAAGAAACTAAAAACTAGAAAATAAAATAAGTAAAAATAATTATGTTGAACGGTTTATTTGAAAAAAAATAATGATGTAGGTTAATGTACTAAAAACTAAAAAATAATTCGGAAGGTCCTAGGCAGCAGTCATCACACCACCCTCCTCAGCAATCTACGGTATTGTTCAGATAAAAAAATAATAAAATCGTTGAGTGTAGCGTAACTCTCTCTTCAGAGTCAAAGATTATCAAATCATCATGCCCATTGAAAAATGACATTTATGTGAAGATATGACATTTGTCAAATCGAAAAAATCCATACATGTTTAACTTTCGTTCATACCATGGAAATACGGTAAACGTGTGGTATGGGACTTCACTTGCGTTGACACGGTCGCGGCTTCCCATCTAGCCGGAAGTTCGAAGTCTGCTGGAACTGCAGTATTGTCTGGCGAGAAATTGAAAAGAAAAAAATATCAAAATCTTGGTAACAACTATCTGTTTCATCCAGTAGCGGTTGAAACTTTTGGTGTTTATGGCCCGGAGTCTCTCTTATTCGTTCATGAACTCGGAAGGAGAATAGGCCAAGCAACGAAAGATCACCGTACTACCTCTTTTTTGGTAGAAATAATTAGTATTGCTATTCAACGTGGCAATGCCCCTTCGGTCCTTGGAACTATTCCTCCTTCACATAATTTTGATGAGATCATGCAATGCTCTAATTTCAGTACGGAACTGAAATCTCTTCGAAACAAGCCGAGATATGAGGATATCCATCAGTCTCATATCAAGGTTAATTCACAAGTGCCATTGATCCACCCTCTTCTTTTTCAATGCGGTCAGTGGACTCAGGTCATTCTTGCCCCCCAAATACGAGGTGCAGTCCTCGTAGTTCTGGTTCCCTTTCAGTGAAAGAGCTTCATGAAGCAAGAGCCGAATCGATCCCTCTACGAAACCCTTCTTCACTTGGAAGGATCGATCGCACCTTGAGAAATGGAGATTCTGTGAAACGTGTTCTTCCTTACGAATCAGTAGAGAGTTGTCCAGAAAATCTAGAGAAGAAAATTAGATTGGATAATTTAGGAAACACTTGCTACATGAATAGCATTTTACAAGTGTTGTTCATGACGTAGAATTTCAAGAATGAGGTTTTAATGGTGAACGAGAACAGAAATGTTTCCTACTTTTTCATCAAACTCAAATACTTGTTCATGCAGCTGCAGTTTCGTTAGAATGTATCATCTTTTCCTCCAACCGATTTTCTGGAGTCTTTGAAGTCCACTAGATACTCGTTAGGAGAACAAGAGGATTGTTCCGAATTCTTGGGGTTCTTGTTGAATACTCTTCGTGAGCAAAACATTAGGAAAATCAATACTCCTGACCGCTCTGGATTGAATGATTCCGTATTGTGAATTGAATATTCCGCCTTGTGTTTGTAAATCTTTTGCTGGAATAATCCTCACTTGTTTACTTTGTAGTAAATGTTCAAGAGGTATAGCGAAAACTTATGTGAATTTCTGGAACTTCATCTAGCTTTTCCTAATATGACTAATAACTTGTCCGTGCAAAGCTTATTGTTTAATCATCCGAAAATTGAATTTTTAACAGGTGATGATCGACTGTATTGCCAAACATGCGCCAAACTAACTGACTGTTATAAGGAAACAAGTATAGCTGAGGCACCAGTCAATCTAATAATAACACTGATGATATTCAAACCAGACTCAACCTCTGACGGAAGTGAGAAACTCTTCGGAAGGTTGCTGATGATTCCAATATTGTTATACCTCTTGACTGCCATATGAATTTGGAAAGTGATGAATTGAATATTGTTTCTACATCCTCAACATAGTTCATTCAAAATGAACTTCTTTTGAATACAGCCAAAACTAATTGTATAGTTTTCAGAACAGTAAATACTTCCATCATTATTCCAGAATATGTGAACATGGGACCTGAAAAGTTGAATTTTTCGTCATGTACAAAAATGTTAGGGGTCTATCTAGATGACAAATTGAACTTTGACGTACATATTGAGCATCTTGCAAAAAAAGTGGCTAGCAAATGTTATGCAATTAGAATTTTGAGAAGTCACTTGAATACTGCTGCACTAAAAATAGCATACTATGGAACCGTATATCTTTTCCTCAAATACGGAGTTATGTTCTGGGGTGGAAGCACTAACTTGGAACGCATTTTCATCATGCAAAAACGTATAATAAAGAATATGTTCAACATGAACTTAACAGACTCCTGTCGTGGAATTTTGAAAAGTAATAAATTACCTACTTACTTTATATATGGGATCTATATTTATGTTTGTGTTATTTTCGTTCATGACAACAAAGAAAAATTCATTATTCATAAAAACATTTACGAGTACAATACTAGGAATAATTCGAACCTCGTTCTTCCTAAACATAGACTAAAAAATACAGAAAGAGGTCTAAGCTATATGGCCATCAACCTATACAATCATTTACCACTGACAATCAGAGAAGAAGGCAGACGGCATACTTTCAAAATTCTACTTTTCGATTTGTTATGTAACATGGAACTGTATTCGATGCAAGAATTTTTTATGGTAACTTCATGACGATTGCCGAAAACAGAAGAAGGATAGATGTATTAGGTGAAAAACTGCAATTGTTATTAAAATAAGATAAAAAAAAATGGTATTTAGTTTTTCGTTACTAACTCAAAAAATATTAATATTTAAGCAACTTTGAAAAAGAGGAGGAAATTTCTGATAAAAAAGTCCCGACTCCCGAAACTCTATCTCCATTATTTATAATTTTAATTTGACGTGAAAGTTGCTATTGTGTTTTTATTCAACTCAGTCAACCAATTTTCAGGGCCGTAATTTAAAAGGGAATAATTCACACAATTATAATTGAATATTACCGAAAAATCCTGAAATATAAAATTGAATTTAATTTCTCAGTATGAAGTGAACGTCTACGATTCATAAACTACAACAAAAATACAGGTCCGTATTTAAAAATTCAAAGATGGGGGTGGTCCAAGTCAGATGACACCCTGTATAAAATTCATGGATATATTCTGAGAACCCACATCAAGTGCCAATAGATTTTCAATACGTCTACGATTCATAAACTACAACAAAAATACAGGTCCGTATTTAAAAATTCAAAGATGGGGGTGGTCCAAGTCAGATGACACCCTGTATAAAAATAATACACAACTTTGCTACAATTTAACCTACACTCTATCTCTTATTGTTTACGAGATCCCCATGTACAGAAACGAATTTGAATAGCCCTGTATATACAGGGTGTAACATAAGTACGTTGAAATATTGAAGTGACGTATTCCTGAGACAATTAAAAAAAAAGTCTTTATGAACTTGTATCCGAAAATGCTTCGTTTCGAAGATACGGGGTGTTGAAATTGATTTTTTTGTTCGCTTTTTGAAAATAACTCTTGCAAAAAATAAGTTATTCGCACGAAATTCGGTACCCGGGGTTTTTTTGACGTGGGAAATCATATTTTTCAATATTGAGTTATACTAAAATGTACTCCCACGAATTTATAAACCTGTGATGATATTTTGTTATCTTTTGTTGTATTTTAGTTATATATTTATACCTTACTGACTTAAGTTTTCATATGTTCAATTCGAAAACTTCAATAAATCTACCTAACTATCTATCTATGGAACATATTTTCAATCAGATCTTAAAAACACGAATACATGCCTTGAATGTGACGTTGATGAACTGATGTTTGGAATTTTTTAAATTTTTTTGGAGTACCCCACACGGTGCTGAAAAAATGAAAGTAAACGTATATTGAATTTGGACATTCCCAATCCAATTGATCCCATTCCTACATTCCTAATCGAAAGTTCAGTAATGATTAGATTTGCTCAACTTAATTGGATCTTTGAATACCAATGGAACAGCTGAATCACTTTAAAATATAATTAAAATCCCCGTTACAATCAACGTGCAAAAAATTATTTCAACCTTCGAAGTTATATAACTACAATTACCGGGTACAGGCAGATTCATTTTGCTGCGGGTTTCCCGAAACATCTCTGCAAATGAGCAAAAAATTTGGTACTGTGTAACGTCCTACACAATTTAGATAATAGTAGTTAATTTTCCAACGTCTTCAGTGTAGTCATAATTTCTTTTGTACTCTTCAATTGGACAACAACTTGTTATCACCCATCGTGAAGTGCGAATAAGTTTTATTTACACAGAGTGAGCCTTGCTCGAAGAAAAATCGTGTTTCAAGTGTTAACCAATTTATTTATGATGGTTGTGTGGATTTATATTTCATTGTTGATTTTGTCATAGACTCGATGATCATTTCTATTTATGGGTGGATTGAAGTTAGTGAAATACGTTTTTATGGTAATTGATTGTGGAGGTAATTTTGAACGGAATTTTCAAAAGGAAGTACGGTAAGTTTAGTATATCAGCTGTAAAAAGTAGGTATATTAGTTGGTAGCGTTATTTTCAACTGTCACAAATTACGACACATATTTCAATTTTAGTTTCATTCGATGTAAAGAGTATCTTCTCCAACATACCGTACAGAGAATGTAAGAGTCTCATTTTAAAGATATCAGATTCAGGCCCACCAGCATGAACATTGCGGGTGCAACCTGTTAAATGATCAAATCCATTTAGTTTACTCACCGGTTTTCAAATTGGCACATCCGCATTGTAAACTGTAAATTCAGGTACTCAATCAAACCATGTACCACAGGGGTGGTATATAAGAGCTAATGTAATTAGTTTATTGTATAAGTTTGAAAATATTCTCACACAACGAAACTGCAGTAACGTTAGTTACAAATAAAAGTAGTAAAAAACATAGACATTTTCAATTCTCTTTTCTTCATGATCAATTTTTGCTTCGTTTTTATATAAAGGGTATTACCTCACAACCTACCACATTTGTTTGTTCTGTTTACTGCTAAGTATTCGTCGACTGGACTACCACTAATTGCGATAAACAGCTAATGACTTTTTAAGTGTCTTGAACACTATGTAATGAGAAAAACGTTGAAAGTAATACATCTTCAAAATAGTAATACTTTTACGAGAAAGAATTTTTCGTGTGATTTCATGAATTATTCAACTTCACGTTGAAGACCCTTCATAACATTCGCTATTTAAAACCTTGAACTGCGCGTTCCAGGTGACTCAAAGCCTACTTTATCAGCGATCCGACGCATTTCAAGAACTCAAGGAAGTAATAAAACTACGAGCGAATAATCAGCCAGTGACAATTGGTGCAAAACATCGCAGAATCAGTTTTTCTGTCGTTGGGACTAGTGCAAAATGATTTCTCCGTGGCATCATCTCCGGAGGTTCGTGCCGATGTTGAGCTGGTCCGGTGAATACAACATCGACAAAGCCATTTCGGATTTGGTGGCTGGGATCACGGTGGGACTTACTTTGATACCGCAGTCCATAGCATATGCCTCTCTGGCGGGGTTGGAACCGCAGGTAAATACTACTACTTTTTTTCAGTTCAATTCAGAATATACTTTATTGGCCGAAGAATAAATTTTCATTGACAAAACCTGGTAAAAATTATAAATGAAATATAAATAAAATCACAAAAATAACAATAACCTACTAATAACATTCAGAATAGAAGAAAATGGTCAATAAAATGAAATAAATTGATTTAAATCATATCAAATCAATGAAATACCGTAGTTGTTACAGTTAGTCATGCTCAAATAAAATTCTCATCGTAGAATTCTGCTAAGCTATAATAAGGTCTCACAGAAAGCAAACATTTTCTTGAGAGCGCTAAAGCCATTTATGGTTCTTATAACTCAAGGAAGGTGATTGAACATTTTGAGACCATTGTAAATAATGAAATCTTTAACTAGGGTCGAAGAAGGCAGCGGTAATTTGAAGCTGAATCTATGCCTGGTTTCATACACTGGCTCATCCAAGTTGTTAAACAAGTTCCTATTTTTTAAGAGAAGGCACAATGTTTCATATATAGATAAGGAGACTACAGTTAGGACTTGGTTTTACATATGCATTGTATTGAGCATGTGGTAGAACACACACCTCAAAAGCAAACACCATAACGAAGATGGGATTGAAATAGGGAATGATAAATCATTCTAGCTACTGCAATCATATCAAATCAATGAAATACCGTAGTTGTTACAGTTAGTCATGCTCAATTAAAATTCTCATCGTAGAATTCTGCTAAGCTATAATGAGGTCTCACAGAAAGCAAACCTTTTCTTGAGAGCGCTAAGGCCATTTATGGTTCTCATAACTCAAGGAAGGTGATTGAACATTTTGAGACCATTGTAAATAATGAAATCTGTAACTAGGGTCGAAGAAGGCGGCGGTAATTTGAAGCTGAATTTATGCCTGGTTTCATACACTGGCTCATCCAAGTTGTTGAACAAGTTCCTATTTTTAAAGAGAAGGCACAATGTTTCATATATTAATAAGGAGACTACAGTTAGGACTTGGTTTTACATATGCATCGTATTGAGCATGTGGTAGAACACACACCTCAAAAGCAAACACCATAACGAAGATGGGATTGAAATAGGGAATGATAAATCATTCTAGCTACTGCAGATCCGAGCTCTAATACAGTTACTCGTATTGCATAACATCCAGAGGAGAGCTTGGATATCAAACTATCTACATGTTTGTCAAATTTTAAATTATTATCAATGAACATGCCAAGGAATTTAAAAGTTGGTACAAAGTCAATTTGAATATTATTTGGATGTACAGCTGGAATCTGGCAACGATACGACAGTAATTTTGTTTTTGACAAATTCAAGCTCAACAGATTTGAGTCAAACCAGTCTTTCACTTTCGTGATGTGACTCTCAATAACTTCATACTTCATGGTTGTTAGGGGCATGCCATAAAATTGTGGTATTATCAGCAAATGAAGTAAATTTACCATGGATGTTAGGAGATTAATGTAAATTGAAAATAAAAGTGGGCCCAGAACCGAACCTTGTGGTACGCCGCAAGTAATTTCACCTTTATTCGAGTATGGAATGGTGTTCACTTGTTTCAACTGATATTTCTATCAATTTAGTCATTGCACTCTTTCACTCTTTCCAGTAAATCAACCTATCCTTTACTAATTTGCGGCCGGTAAATTGAACATTACGGTATCTGGTATCGTAATATGTTGCTTAGCAACACTTTTTATTTTCGAGAGTAATAGCGTTTTATTTTTGACTTTTGACCAGACCTCACTCAAAACTGATATTGGAAATTTCACTAGATTATGTAAAAAATGTATTTCTTGATAGGAGCATTTGACAATGCACTACCTGAATCTATAGGATCATCTCTGTTTAAGAAATGTATAGAATCGACCAAAACTGGCTGGATCTATGTCATGCTGCAACATGTTGTTGCAACATGACCTCGAAGAGTCGTAGTTGCAACAGAACTGCAACTACGACTCTTCGAGGCGATGTCATTAGGTTCAGGGTCACCCTTAAGGTGGGGTACTATCTTCCCCTCTGTGGTTGCTCATGATGGATAGTCTGCTTGATTCCCTCGACTGAAGAAAAGAAGATCTGCCAGCTTATGCAGATGACCNCAGGACAGATATATCAACCTACCTAGGAACTTATGCGACTGTATTTCAAGCGGAAATTTACGCTATTGAATCGTGTGCGGAAGAATCCAGCCTCATGCACAAGTAATGAAAATATTCTCGGACAGTCAAGTGGCATTGGAAGCTCTTGGCTCCAACCGAGCAACGTCTAAATTGCCAGTGAATTGCCAAAAACGACTCTACTCGATAGGAAGACTTAACACATTGTCTCTGGTCTGGCCTGAAAGGCAATGAGGCTGCTGACTCCCTTGCAAAGGAGGGTGCTGCAAGCAGCTTCATCGCTTTAAGCGATGCCAATGGTCCGATGTTTGTTGTTGTTCAAACAAAGATTGAACAACTGGTTGGCAAAAAGATTTTTGGCCTTTTGGCAGAATCTTAAAATCTGTTTTTTCCGTTAACCCGCTGTCGCACCCCTACGAACGACAACCCTCAAAAGTCGAAACTTGTGCGAGCTAAGGATTAACGAGGTCTTACCTTTTAACGCGTGATTCCTAACACGGAATCACACGTTGGGAGTGAGCCAATCTTTCAGGATATGCTTGCTAATAGGGATGAACTACGACAGCTAATAGGCTTTCTCACAGGTCCCTCGCATTTGAATCATCATATGCAGAGAACATTCTTTGTGCCTGACCCACTGGGGACCGAATCAGGTTTTCTGAGTTTAGCAGAGCCGTACTCTTACCATCTGACCTGAACGACCACTCACCATACAAACTAATCGGCTTCGTTAAGCTGGGTGTATTTGATGAAGTATGAATAGATGTGAGCCACAATAAACTCTTGCGGGTTGCGGTGGAAATCGAATAGACCCACTCGCTTTTGACCTAACCTAACGAGAAAGCAATAGAGACAATTATTAAAAAAATTATCGAAGGCTATTGAAAAATAACCTGTATCTTCATAGCACTAGTAATGCTACTACTAGTACCATTAATGAATTCATACCTGACCGTTTCAGGTAGATTCATTAATTAGGTAGACGAGTAGGCACTAGGTTAGAGTATAAAATGGTTGTAATTTAGAAGTAACTCTTAGTTTATGCTTGAGGAAGCTATTGTATAGCGACACACGTGTCGCGGTTTTTGTAATACCCTTTATAGTGAAAATCATACAATTGATTAGTTTTTTAATATGGATTTTCATCAAGTATCGGCCAGTTCAATTCATCTATCATATTGTTCAAGTTTGCACAATAATATTTTTCCATCTATCATTTCGAATGCCATCTTCAAGTATTACATATTTTCATATTAATCAGTGGGCTATGCTTGAAGACTGGCAGTAAACAAATATTAAGAACTGAACTTTAACCGTTCGGTCAAGTCTCGAATATACCTACACAGTAGGTTAAATGGACTGACGCCTAAGAACGTTTAAGGTTCATTTCTTTAGATTTGTTCACTGCCTGTCTTCAAGCATAGCTCACTGACTAATAAGAAAGTTTTTCTTCCTTATTCAAAGGAATCGGGCACATTTCGGATATTCAGTTGGTTACCTTGTCCACTAGATGGAGTGACATTTAGTTGCTCGCTCCAACTTAGGAAGGGTAATGAAATACTCTGAGAGAATTTCGATTTTCAATTGCCCCGGGGATTGACTCAATAACAAACAAGTTATTGAAGAAGCTCCCGAAAAACTGCGTTGAGGGCCTACTGACCATCATTAACAGCTCTNTAACAGATGAATAATATCTTCATCCATCTCACCCCAGCCAGGTAGGGGTACACCGCGAAGGGCGGTATGGATGTCTGAGGACTTTCATGCCACCATCAAAAATCAGTCATGACCCATTTGTCCCTCTGACAAAAACCAGCCCAAAGGGTAAGGGAGCAAGGCTCCAGCCTGAATAAAACGACGATGACCATCGGCGCGATTTTCAATTATGGAATATCATTGACTTTAGGTCGATGATGGCCACTATCCTGCACTGATGAGTGGCTAATGAGCCCTAAACCGGTTTGCAAGTGTTCCCGTTTCAAAATTGAAGGTCCACCCTTTCAGTTGTGTTGCACATTGCATATGCAGGAAATTTTCTGTGAAAATTCCTGCACTGACGCCAGTCGGATATAATCCAACGCCCTTCGTGGTATCAGCCAGGGGAGTAGATATTTTTTGATAGGCGTCAGTCCATTTAACCTACTGTGTAGGTATATTCGAGACTGGCTAGAACGTTTAAAGTTCATTTCTTTAGATTACTACATATTTGGCATTTACTATCATTTTCCTTTGTAAAATAGTTTACAGAACTATCATACGTGTCTCGATAGGCAATCAAGACAAAACTGTATAAATTAGTTTTAATGGAATCCTTCCTGAGAAAGCTATTTTAGTGGTAAATATTTATTTCCCAAGAAATATATAACATGTTTATAAAAGGAAAATTAACTTGTCAACAATGATATCAATAAAACTAAAAAAAATATGGAAGAGCATAATAAGTACGATGGTCGTTATCTTCGAGTTGAAATTGAACATGAACTCAATCATTCATCAATCAAATGAAAATAACATATCTATATTAGGAGCTCATAGACAACTCAAGGTCTGATCTGAGATTCATAGAGCATAAAAAGTTGCTGGGGATTGTACAGTTTTCTGCTTTCGGAAAGCAGCCATTGCAATTTCATCGACATGCTAGTACCAAGACATATTGGTGCCCATTTTAACCCCCAACAAACTTATCGAAGCAGAAAGCGGGCTTGTCGGTCCTGACATTATTATATCCAGTTCGGAGACATTTATCTTTTTGGAGAAAACCGACAAGACAGGTGTGTTCCTTAAACACATGCTAATATTTAAGGAGGTAATTCTTAGACCCATTTTAAGAAAAAAACTTCCTATGGACGTATGTCCTAAACGCCTTAACTTTTGA